CCAAATCTCCTGATTTTGTGCGAAAGAGCAGAGTAGATTTCACCAAAATATGATGATTGAAGAGATGAGGGGAGAAAGGAAGGAAAAAATTTGGCAAAATGGGATGGAAGCCATTACGGTTTCTTGGAAAAAGATGGCTTCCATCGGCTATAAATAGGGCCTCTTCTACCCAACAAAAATCATCCACAACCAGAGAGCAAGCTTCCTCTCTTACTTGCAAAATCCAGCCATTTCGTGCACTATTCACCCTTCTTCCCCATTTTCCCTATTTTGGCAGATTGTTTTAACAATGACAGAGTCACTGTCAAGCTGCCGAAAGAAGCACCCAAGCCACCATTTCCTTTTTGCCCCCTTCTCTCTCAACCAAACCTACTTAAAAACCCTTCCTCTCTTACCTGGACACCCTTTCTACTCTCAAAAACACATAATTCTCTCTTTAGTGCTAAACTCATGTCAATTTTGCTTTCATGCCATGATTTCCTAATGCCAAGCTAATAACTCATCTGTAAGCATTAAGGAATCATCTGTAAGTTGTTGTTGTTTTGGCTGGTGAAGGTAATCAAGATGCTTCATAAGGCTCTACTGCCCTTTCGAAGCATTTTTTGGGCTTGATTTTTGAACTCAGACAAAGGGGGACAATTTCATTAATCTGCCCTTTACGGCAGCCTAGCCCATTCACAACTGCTGGAAGAAAAAGCCCCTACAAATATCATACAAGACAGAGCTATAAGCTATTTTCATGCCTTGTCTGGGCAATCAAATAGAGAAATTAAGGGAGTACCTTTGAGTTTAAAGTTCGCAATTAAAGATCTAATTTTTGCCCCAATTCCTCCAAAGCCAAAGCATAAATTAGGGTTCCATGCTAGAGAGAGAGGAAAGAGAGAATCATACGACCTCGTTTAAGGAGTTGATTGGCAAAGGAAATGGGCCCAATGTTAAGATCTAACATCCAAAAGGACTATGGTCCCAATAGAAAAAATATCCAAACAAAGTTGTTCCAATAGAAATGATATGGACCAAGAGGAGGTGGTCCAAAACAAAACACTTTCACGCGATCACCCAAAATAATCAGAGAGCTGTTATGTTATTTTATTTTTCAAAGAATAAGTCTACTCTTTCTTCATTTGTATATCACATCCCTATATCATCTTATGTGGCAGCTAAGGTGGACAACCACATCAATTAAAATTGTTTAATATTTTCTTTTCTTTTATAATTTATTTCAGTATTTGTTTTTCTAATTGTCTTAATTAAAATATACTTCATTGATTTAATTTATGTGACATATAATATGGACATGCCACATCATGTGGGTATAGAAATGTGGGATAAAAATGTGGTAAGTGTAGTATTACTCTTCAAAAATGCTAGTCATACAACATTGTGTATTACCTCTCTAATAAAGATGAGCCCTACTATATTAGTGGGCTCCACCTGGTATCCCTAGCATTGCTCTTTATTGTTTTTCGTCAAAAAGAGCAATTACGTTATTGGAACCTAAAATCGTGATTTTACCCTTAAAAGAAATAGGTGTTGTTAAACGGACCTTAAAATTAATTGAGTACACCCTATAATCTAAGGACACGCTAATATTTAAATCAAATGTAAAATTAACTAAGTACACCTTATTTAACTACCAAAAATACCCATGGTACACCCTAATATACTATCACACGATATCAAACCCGTTCGAGAGCTGGCTGCCAAACACTATCAGACCACCAAACATGAGCAATTGAATGAAATTTGGATCTTGGATTCTTCCGAAGTGCAATATCGAACTTGTTAATGAACTGGAAGCCGACTATGGAAGTATAACTCTAGTAAACATCTACCAAATTTATATCATAAATAAATCATATACATCAGAATTTATGGAATCCATGTTGTATGCGATGCTTCAGGTTTTTCAGTATGAATCGCTTATCAACAATTTCATAAGGCTTAGAATAGAAAACAAATGATGTACTCATATACTAATGGTCAATATGCAGTTGAAAACAAATGGTGTGCTGGAAGCGGACGGTCTTACGGTGCCTCGCATCTAATGTTTTAATTTTAGTCCTTTGTCAGTCTCTCTACTTTGCTATCTGTGGCGTTGTGTGTACTGGCTAAGTTTAGTTTGCTTTGTTTATGTGGGTCTTTCTTTCAATGAAGCTATCAGTGGTTTGCAAATCCATAGAGATTGATCATCACTTGTACGAATTTGGATCTCTGTGGAATACCATATCTAGGTAAGTTTTTTTGGTCATTAGTAATTCAATAAATAATTTGGTAGTATAGTGTACTCAGTTAATTTTAATGTTCGTTTAACAGCACCCAAAAAAATCTGAAATCATAATTGACTAAGATTTCAAGTATATTGACCCATTGACCCCAATTTTTTTATATACAATTGATAATCTAAATTAATTTTCAAGGAGGAGTTTCGAATTTATGTGCAAGGGGATGGACTCACTATCATGACCAATTGACGTAATCCACATATACCCTATTGGCATTGGGGTTAAATATTGACTCAGGTACAAAAGATATATAGAGAAAAATGTCTATAAATTACTTGTTCTTCTTCTTTTTCTTTATTTAAATTTTGATTCAGAAACGTGCAAAATTGATGAGAGGAAGGTTACTTGCACTCCATAAGACATTCAGTCACAAACACAACGAAGAATATGGTCGGAGTAAATAAAAACTGATGAATTTAAATCATGTAAAATTCATAGTCTAAGCAATCTTCTAAGAAGAGTGCCAGCATGAAATTGCTTCGATACATTAATTGTGCGAATGTATAGCTAATCAAGCCATGTCTTCATCATCATATTCCTAGCAGTCTGCAAACGCACATTACCTATCAAAATCAAAAACCAGAACAGAAAACCAACAAGTGTTAGACTTATAATATATATGCATGAGAAAGTAGCTGGGAATTATCAGATTACTGTAGAAAGCTATAAAAAAATTGCAGAATTTGTATTTGCATGCATAAGACTCTTTACATTTATCCCTGCGATCTTGAATCTTGATGATATATAGTATCAAATGATACCAGGAGTTCCCCCAAACACTTCAGTAGGAGCTTTTATTGAAGAAATAATTGATCAGAAAAGATCATTTATCAGTCCATCACCCAATGAAGTGGTCAAGGGAACTCTAGGGGTCATCTGACTTGACATTTGCTTTCTTTGTTGTTCATATTCTTGCTTGATATATAATAGGTAATGTCAACTCCATGGATCTATGCTATTTATAGTGGTTGCTAGAGGCCTTTAGTTGTGGTATTTTGGATTGGAATTCAATTGGAAGAAAAATATGTGGGGATAAAGTTGTAGGTGGTGAACCTAGACTGTTATGTGGGCTACATAAGCAGTAGGGAATAAAATGTTGCATGAAATGAAAGCGAGTGCTCACTCCTCCCCCATGCTAGCTAGTTATATACCTTTTTCGTTTTCATTCATTCCCAATCCCAATCTATCTATCCATTTCCATTCCCAAAGCCACAGCCACAGCCCTTTTTTTTTTTTTTTTTTT